TTAGTATGTAACAGTACAACATATTGGCATATTATATTTGTATATTTTAAGAAAAACAAAAAAAAAATCTGTCTTACAGAAAAATTTACTTTAAAAGTATCTTTTAAGTCTCATTAAGTTTCCTCTTAAAAATGGAAAAAATAAAGTATTCTACAGGTGCCAGATGTACCTCCACAGTGAAGGCTGAGTTCTCTATTCAGTGCATGATCCATCATGTTTTTTAGTCATAGGAATTTTCACAATTCCTTAGAATGTAACATGAACTTTCTAGTTTACAAATAAATCCATTCTAATTGAAGTTCCCATTCAATAAGGTATAACTAAGAACTGCAATATTAACCCTATAGATAATCCACGTATTTATATTCAAAAGCCTTTTATAGTTTCATACTGAATCATAAGTTTGACTCAAGGGGAAGTTCCAAATTCTTGTGCCTTTGGAGTTCCGCAGGCTGTTGCTACATTATCTTCTGGGCTATACACCCCTTTTCTCATGCATGTCCGGCAAACTGCAAACTAAAGCAAGTTCTTCAGCCCAAAGATTGTGATAACATTAAAACAAATCTAGTATCCTATTCAAAACAGACTTGCTAAAAGTAAAAGAACAACGCTTTGCTTTTGTAAAGCAAAACAAACAATGTATATAGAGCCCATTGCCCACACATACACAGAGTGTCTCAAGTTCCCGTCAAGATCCCAGTTTTGGTAATCTCTCCCTCTCCCTGGGCAAAGCAGGGAGTTCACAAGCATGCCACAAGATGGGTAACCTCCTACCAGTCACTCACACACACTTAAGGTATAGGATCCTTTGATCCTTTTTTCCAGAAACAAGAGGAGGTGGGGAGGAAATCTCAACTCTTAACCGTTCTGTTTCCTTCTTCTGACATCATAAGCCTTTTCTTCTCTTTCCATAACCTTCCCTATCATGTAAAATGTTTCCCCTGATAGGCTTTATGTTTGACATTGTTCAGTTCTGAAGCATCACCAAGCAACAGAAATGTTAAAATGCAACAATGTTCCTTTTTCAGTGTAAACAATATGTATTTTCTATGCTCTGCAAAAATATTTAAAATTTGCAATAACTCTGAAAGTTAGCCTTCAAAAAATAAAACCTTTCCAAGATTCCAGAAATAAATGCTAAAGAAAACGTCATTTTCTTATTATTTTCACCAGAGAGCTTCAGTGAGAATCAGAGACAGCCACCACTTCCTACTATTTCAACTTTGGCATAGTTCTGCTTCTACTTCCTGAAAAGAGATTCCACTTTCCCCAAAAACTCATTTTCCTCCCCAGTAACTATTCTGAAGTGGCCAAATTGTGAGCATTCTATTAAGAACAAAAATAGTTTGCTGTTAGGAAAATTAGGAAAAGAAAAAAACTGATAAATACAATTAGAAGAATATCATTATTAAATTATATGCGTGCTAAAAGTCACTGCTCTGTTTTATCTGCAAAAATCTTATATATACACACAGTGCAGTGCCCAGTATTTGTAAGAGAGCACATCACATGCTATCAAACAGAGGCACTCAAGCGTTCCTTCCCTATCACAGACCCAATCTACATGCCTATCTAGTGATGTTTTTCCAGCAATTACTTTTTGGTCATACAAGAGAGGAATTTCAGGGCTCTAAGTCTATGAGACATAAAGCTAAAATTAAACCTGACCCTACATATCAAAGCCAGCATTGTACTTTCAAAGTTTAAAAGAAGTCAAGCCATGGTGTGATAGGGTTAACAATCAGCTGGTCTGTGTAGCAACAGCACTGCATATGCTCTAACTTAATGCATTTTCATATGCTTCCATACTTGCTTGGAGCTAACAACAATCATCTGTTTCATTCTTTAAGATCCTCATTTCATCTTAAATTTAAATTCTAAAGTATGTGCACTTACTCACTTGACCATAATGGCTGTCCTCATTTAAGACTTTTAAAGCAATCCGAAGACCAAGTAATTGCAAATACAAAGTGTAACTGTGGGTTTACATGCATTCAATTAATTTGAATTAGTGAGCTTGTTACCATGGGGTTCAAGTAACAGCTTGAACCAAAGATATGAAACCAAAATACGAAAAGATTCTCCCTTCTCAAAGAAGCCACTATTTCTACTACTAATAGTAAATTTTTTCAAAGCACTCTGGAGACTGACCTCTTTTTCACCTGCCAACTGACAGCTACTTTCAATCTGTAATTCTAAATTATCAAATTAGTCACAGAGTTAACAACATCAAAGAAAGAGCACAGAGATGAGGGAAACACTGCAATCTAAACAAATTGCACAATAAAGGATATTCATGATATAGAACATATTTAGAAACAACAAAGATCCGCTGGTTCCAGATTCTAGTTCTTGCCTGTCCTCTCACTCTCTTTCCCAAAATGAAAAGCAAAATTAAATAATCATGCTGAATATACTTTAAAGATGTGGTGGCTTGACCCTAGTCAGCAGCTAAGCATCCACACAACCAGAACCAGTAGAAAAAAACCTTTGCACATCCAAAGTATCCTATACCTTTATATATTTCTGTATCAACAGAAGCTGACTGCAACTTTTCTCTTCAAATTATTGTATCTCTGTGCATTGTATAAAGCAGTTCTGAAACAGTATTTCCATACGTCTTGCATTGCAATGACACTATTGACACCTTCAGGAGTAGGAGTCTCCCAGGAGTACATGACAGAGCAGCTCCCTCCTCCACCCTAGTGCTCCAGAAATAGACAAGTCATTGCTAGAAAGCATTTTTCAGAAAGCAGAGTTTTCTAAACATTGAATATGGAGAAGAGAACAAAGAGAGGAGAAACAACCTATTCCTACTAAACTGAATTTCAGAAGCTTAAAAGACAAACAAGGTTGAGCATTTTTAAAATAAAAGTGCGAACAGGTACTTCATACAGCTCTATATATGATCAGGGTTAAAATCGAAGTTGCTTATTATGCTACACTGTTTATTCCTCAAACTACCTTTAAACAATGACCCCTCAGGGATACGTGTTCTCAGCCTTTATAAAAGAAATCGAGAATAAAACAGACATAGGTATGTAAATACATCGAATAAATGTGTCCTATTTCCTTTCCCCTTACCTCTTCCTCTTCCACACTTAAATACAGAAACACCTATCGAGACAACTATGTTTTCCAGCAGCTCTTTTGCATCTTCTTGAAAGAAGAAAACTACAGACCCTTCGATTTCTGTAGCTATCAAGAGACCGCCTTTTTTTTTCTTCCCTCCTCCTCCTCCCCGCGCCAAGCCGTGTTCCTCTGGGGCAGCTCCCCCGACCCCAGGACCGAGGGACAGCGGGGCGGGAGGCAGAACCACCGAGGAGACCCAGCACCACCACCTGCCTTTCACACCGGCCCATTCGAGAATGTCAACTACATTAACCCGGCAAGCAGCTCTCAAACTTTTGCAGTGAACGGCATCATATGCTTACTCTCACTTCATCATGGAGAAAAAGATGATGACAGAAAAGGAATGAAGGACATGGTTAACAGCACCTTCATTATTAATCAATACAGTGAATATACATTCTCATTATGTTTTACACGATCTTCTAAATTGACGTTAAAATTTAGATTTACTGCAGTGTTCAAGTTGCCTGGAAACTTCTGAGAAGCAGAGAATCCCTACTAAAAAGAAATAAAGCTCATCCCCAACACAGCAACCTACAACGGAGGATTTCTGTTGTACCTTTAAAGGTCTTACGTATTTCACACGTTGAACTACTTCTCCAGAGGGTCGTCAAGTAACTACCGAGCTACAAGAAGATTCATAGACTGAAAATCCAGATAACTCTGTGGTTACGTGTTGGCACATTCCCCTCCCTACAATTCCGGCATTTCACCGAGGTCAAAGAAAAGCTGTCACATAAAACGACTTCATTTAGGACTGGAACAAACCGGCCCCCCAACATAGTCAAAGAAGTCGATCAAATATACAACTTAAAAAAAAAAAAAAAATGTTTATAAGAGAGCCTGGCTACCCTTTATCTCCTTCAAAAGCGTCAAATACTACCAGGAAGTGGGACAGGAGAGCCAGGCATGGAGCAGAAGTCGAAGCGAACTACTTTTTTCAGAAATAAGGCCCCTCCCCGCCCCCATCGTACGCGCTCCTGCCCTTATATTCCAGCTCATCCTCCTTTCCCCCCGCCACTGAGATTTCCCTACCGGTCCCAGGGAACTCTCGGAGCTCCCTGCTCAGCCGTGCTTTCCCCAGTTCTCCTCCGCCCCGCGACCCCCGGGCCCGCCCGCTCACCGTTCCTCAGCTCGTGCTTCACCGTGAGGAGCGGCAGCTCCGCTTCCCCCGAGGGTCCCTCCATGTCCTCACGGGCGGCTCCCTGCCGCTCCCGTGAGCGCGGCGGCGGGGCGATGTCACCTGGCCCGAGATGGGTCCTATTTGCCAGGGGCACTCCGGGGCAGAGGAGCCATGCAGGCGCGCTGGGGTCTGCCGCTCTCCCCTCCGCCTCGTTGGTAAACGGGGAGGGGGGAAGGGGGAGGCGGACGCGGGGGAAGAAAACCCCAAACGTACACCACCCAACAACAAACAGTTATTAAAATCTAGGGAGGCACACGCACGACGGATTCCCTCCCCCGGCGCTCAGAACCAGCCCATGTCCTTGCGCCGCGCCTCCCCTCCCCCGGGCTCCGGCCGCCCTCCCCGCCCGACAGCGGGGAGCGGAGCCGAGCGGAGCCGAGCGGAGCCGGATAGGCTGAGCGGCCCGGGGGGAGGAGCGGGAGCGCGCGGGGAGCGGCTCCAACTCAGGCGCTCGCGCCCCCTCCCTCCCCGGGCCGGGCGCTCATTGGCCGCGCGCGCCCGCGCGCCCCGGCGGCCGTCGGGCAGAGAACGCTCCCGCGCGCCGCCCCCGCCCTTCCGCCGGGCGCCGCGCGCCCCCATTGGCTCGACGGCTGCGCCAACCGCCGGCCCCGCCCCCCGTCTTCCCCCCGGCCCCTCTACTCCCCGAGCGTGTTTGTAAACATTCCCGCCCGCCTCGCCGCTGACCCCCGACCCCCGCGGAGGCGGGCACGGCGCTGCCGAGAGGTAAGGGAAGGCGCTGATTGACCGCTGGAGCTGGCAATCACCTGAGGGAGGGGCCATGGCGCCCTTCCTCGCGTTACGGGCTGGTTCCATCGTACTCGAAGGGGGGACCGGCCGTGGGCTGACCCACTCGCAGTGGCGGCGGGGAGGAGCTGGCCTCCAGCCTGGCGCGGGGGATGCGGCCGCGGGATGGGAAGCAGGGTATCTCCGCGGAGGGGCAGGGAGCAGCGGGGCTCAGCCGGGGACAGGGGCATTCCCGCAGGGCCCCGGCCGCCCGCCCGTTGAGCCCCCGCCTCCCCGCACGCGTGTGGACCCGCGGCGGCGGCGCGGCCGGGCTGGAGAGCTGCGGCACAGCGGTGTGTCCGCCTGCAGCACAGCCCTGTGTCCGCCTGCGGCACGGCCCTGTGTCCGCCTGCGGCACAGCGGTGTGTCCGCCTGCGGCACGGCCCTGTGTCCGCCTGCGGCACGGCCCTGTGTCCGCCTGCAGCCCGCGGCCCTGTGTCCGCCTGCGGCACGGCCCTGTGTCCGCCTGCGGCCCAGCCGTGTGTCCGCCTGCGGCACGGCCGTGTGTCCGCCTGCGGCACGGCCCTGTGTCCGCCTGCGGCACGGCCGTGTGTCCGCCTGCGGCACAGCGGTGTGTCCGCCTGCGGCACGGCCGTGTGTCCGCCTGCGGCACGGCCCTGTGTCCGCCTGCGGCACGGCC